CAACATTTGTGCAGCAAATTTATATTGAAATCAAATCAATTATGACAGTAATGATCACGGTGACCGACCACGCCAGAAAAGACATATTTCGCATTTAACTAACTCTACGCTATGTTATAAACTTAATATGTTCATTATGGTCAATTCTTCCTCAACAAACATGTACATGGGTGGCAATTTAGTTAAAGACATTTTACAAGAAATGTGCTTTATATATGCATTCGGCAATGCAAGCTGCCCAGCAAGTTCCCTTTTTTACATCACAAAGGGTATTTCTGTATGGAAATGAAGAGCCTTGTTTTAAATTACACAAAAATAAAGTTACCGTAAACTTTAAAAAAACTATTTTATACTTAGAAGCATAAAAATTAATAATATTAATGTACCTCTTAATGATATCAGGCGAGAAAGTAGCAGGCATTTAACAGGTACTTTAAAGAAGAATTGAATAACATATGATTAGAGTGCCACGTGTAAGTCTGATGTACTCGCACGTGCAAGTGACATATGGACAAAACTGTGTCTCTACACTATAGAGGTACATTGTACATACCTCTATCTAGAGCACTACTGTAGATAGAGGCATTCAACTAGTGCTTAACTTTATTTAGTATTGTCTGTTGTGATATAGTGGCTACAAGTGTCCATAGTCATAAGTAAAGAAACTTTAAAATACTCTTACAGTATTGACTCTTCCCTTTCTGAAATGGTCAATAACTTATTGCCATATAACAAGTTCATTGACCATTTACCTATTCCCAATTCTGAATTACATTACCCTAAGCACCCGCTTTCAGTACCCATGTACACTGCTCTCTCTTTCAAACTGCTTGAAACAATCATATTAAAGATGACAGGGAATTTCTGATGATTTTCTTCTTTGTTTTAAATTCCTTTATTTCTGATTGCTGCTTTTGGTCAACAGAAAACCGTTTGTTTTGTCCAATCATAATTGTGATTAGTGTATCATGATTATACTAAATCACAGCTGCGTTTGGTGACCATGCACATTATTTGTCTTCTGGGCCGTGGTTGTCACAATTAAAGATGGCAGATAGATGACAGCTGGCCTACAAGCAATTAAAGGAACTAAAATATTTCAGCATCTTAAAATAGTTTTTGCTATTTTTGTGCATTTTTTTCACTCATTTCCTCAATCATTTTGTAAAATCTAGTTTATTATTGTGTTTTGTTTAGAGACTCGATTTTAGTCATCATCTTCATATTCATTATTCACTGTTTTAAAAATAAGAGTTAATATTCAAAGGGGGTTGTCCCATCTTTTGAAAATACTCTTTTAGTGTTATTTTTAGCTACATGTACAGAAATCAAAGTTTAAATAATCCACTCTAATCACTTGTTTTTCTGTGCACATTATTAAACAGGGACTTATGTTTTGACCCTTGTGTGTCCGTGCATCTGGACCTGTGCCTTAGATATGCCTGGACCAATCACAATCAAACTTCACACATACATCATACATAATATTATACATATGCAAATTTGTTTCTCGATCTAATTCAATGATGCCTGAATGGTGGCCATTTTTGTACTGAAAAAATCATCAAAATCAAGCATTTTTTGGCTGTTTACAGATGGATCTTGTTCAAACTTAGTATATACATTAGACATTATGGACCTTGATGCACTTCATTTTATTTTTAGCTCCGCTGTCAACTTTGTCGAGCGGAGCTTATCATATGAGTGATTGTGTCAATGTTTTACTTTTTTGACTTCTTCTTGAAAAATACAAGCCTGAATGCTTTGATACTTGGTGTGTATGTACCTGGGGTAGACCTCTCTTAGATTTGTTCATTTCATGATGATATCTTCAATTCTCTAATTTTGGTGAGTATTTTTGTAATTTTTAGTAAAAAGTGATATTTTCGACTTCTTGTTAAAAACCGCAAGTCCAATTTCTTTGATATTGCATATATAGATTCTACATGTGGACCTCTCTCAGATTTGTTCATTTTGTGATGATATCTTCAATTCTCTAATTTTGATGAATATTTATGTCATTTTTGGTAAAAAGTGATATTTTTGAATTATTGTTGAAAACAACAAGTCCAATTGCTATACATACTTATACATATTGTTCATTTTCTAATGATATCTTCAGTTCTTTAATTGAAATGTGCCTTTCTAACAGCAGAGCTATCTCAGCCGAGAGGCTGCTTGTTTAGATAAGATTCAAAATGGGCGACTGATGGCCATTTTGTTTTAATGAATGTGGTTCTAGTGCCATATCAAGCATTTCTGGCATTTATAGATGGATTTTGTTCAAACTTGGTACATACATTAGACATTACAGGTTCTTGTCATTCTATTTTTCAGATGAGATACAAATGTCAATCACTTTAATGTTAAACAATCATTATAATATTTTTGACATGGTTATATTCCAGCTATATTACTATAAACAAAACTATATATCTTATTTGATAACTAACAGATACTGTGCCTTGCATGGCTTGTTCTCATTGTAACTGGTCTATTCTCTCAGTAATTATTTTCACTTTCATTCTCCTCTAACATTCCATAAAAAATTATGATTTTTGTCAAACTACTCAAACAAACATGCAGTGGAAGTTTGCAGTAGTGAGAAATCTGATGCTTGTAGACTATGAAAGTGCGAATGCAAAACTTAAAAAACTTTTAAAAAATTGGTGAAATCACTACCAAATCTTATTTGTTCTAAGACAGATAAAATCTCTGAAAGCAGAGGTACATTACTTGGGGTTTGCAACTACGGTGACATGATACCAAGATCCCGTTACAATCTCGCTCTCGCATAAGCGGTCTAACTCAGAAAAATGCGATGCGCATGCCCGAGGTAACTAGGATACTGGGATGTCCAGATGGATCAAAA